GTAAAGAACATGTGGAATATAATATATTTTTTCAATTAAAGTCTATACTTTTTGATTTTGGGGTGATCTATGCTTTTAGGTAGGCTAGTGTGTCAGTCTTCACAGTAACTTCAAAGTAAAACTCTGGAGGTAAGAAAATAAGTGTATTAAACTAGCTAGACAGCTTCCTACTTACATTAACCTACACTGTTGCAGTTTTGATGTTAATACACACCACCATTCAGCCAATTTCAGTCATATTCTTGGGAGGCATTTGCACATCATTTCCAGTTATTGGCCAAGTTTCATGTTTCCAGCAAATTCCAGCTCATGGCAATTTAAGCTATGGTGGAAAACAACATATAAAACAGCTGCAAACAGCAATGCTAGGTTCAAGCCCTTTCTTTGCCAACAGAAGGAGGCAGCTCAATCACTACAATCAATTGACATGGGTATCTCTCCTTCTGAAGCCCTCCCCCCGGGCTCAGAAGCACCATGGGTCCAGTGGAAGACGCTCAACCGCCTGAGAACAGGAACAGGGCGATCAAAAGCTGCCATGGCCAGATGGGGCTATGAAACTGGCCAAACCACCTGTGAATGTGGAGAAGAGGGCCATACAATGCAGCACTGCCTTGTCTGCCCCCTACTACCCAACCAGTGCAGCTCAAAGGATCTTGCAGTGTTCAATAAAAATGCAAAGGACTGTGTTAAGAAATGGGAAACTGTCATATAACCAAACAGCTTCAAAGACACAAAAAGAAGAAGAAAACTACAATCAAATCCCCAAGTGGCAATGACCTGCATTCAGGCTTTACAAAGCTCAGCAAAGTCCCACCTTTTGCTCCCCTCTATTGAAATTGAACGAAACTTCAGCAATCAGGATTGCTCAGAGAAAATCTGAGTTATGGCCTATTTCCCTCGAAGCCCCGCCCTTTGCAAAGAGTTTTATATAGATGGCAGCCATGTTTTGGTTTGATCTTGCTCAATTAGAGTAGCATTATCGCAGTCCCACAAGGTTGTAAACCAAGTTTGGCATTGATAGAACCAAAATCCAAAGAAGTCTATTCATATTAGTCTTTCTCACATTATGCAAATTAGGAAAGAATCCATCATGGTGGACACGTGTAAATAAGGCTTTTTTTGTGGAGCACACTGAGTTGTAGATGTCAGCTCAGTTTGAAGATTTCAGATTTGAAGTTTCAGATTTCAGACACTGATGAAAAAAAGCCATCCTTTCACAGCAATCCTGTTCTTTTTCCCTAAACCCAACCATGTGCATGTGTAGGCAAAACATAACCACGTACCTTTGTTGTTAAAGGAAATAAAATTACAATTTGCGATTGTTGTACAGATGAAGTGTGTTTATTTTGAAAGAGACTGTATGCAAACTATACATTACTTAATGTGAAAAGGGAAGTGTATTTTGAAAAGACACAATGCATGTAACAGGTTGAGGTCAACACGGTGTCCCAGAATGTTACCAACAATTGCACCCGGGATACCTTGCACGTCATATCTCAACATGGAAAGTCCATGACCAAGCGTTGATATGTGACAAGGTCGGAGTGAGAATGTGTTGCATGTTGCATAATGCACCACACCCATGCACACCAATCATTACCACACTTCAGATCTTTGTTATTGCCCCGAGAGCATGTGTAACAAATTGATGAAATTCTGTCCACCAAGAAAAGGAGTGTAGCAAGTTTAGTGGTGAAAGAGTCAACCTCCAAAATCATTCATTTTACAGTTTTTCACATTATTCAAATTAACAAAAAAAAGCATCTTAGCAGACTATTATTGTCCAAGAGCCTTATTTTGTAGAGCACACTGAGCTGGATATGTGTCCCAAATTTTAAGTCAATCTGACTTATGGTGTGAGGGGCGTGGCCTTTCTAAATTTGCATTTTTCAGTGTTAATTACACCACCACCTGATTGTGGTCATATTTCTTGGGAAGCATTGGCACATAATAATAATGCTAATAATAATGATAACAATAATAAACCAGCACAAACTTAAAAGAGCCCCTTTGTGGCTTGAACCCTATCAAGATGATGCCCCAGGCATCAGTGTCCAGAAAGCCATCATCAACACAACAAAGCCTAGAACACTCACACGGGGATGAAGCATGCAAAAATATACAGATAACATCTTATTTTGGCCCCCTTTTTTGCACTTATAAGCAGTAATTGATAAAGTTTTAGAATACACTGTAATGTGTTATAAAGTGCTTAATGATGTACTTTTCAACTTTAGAACTCCTACTGAGAATTTTGTGAGTAAGTTTTACAGGAAGAATCAACTGAGCTGTCCTTGTGGGAAGTGCAATGTAGAGCAACAGTGCTATCAGGACACCTTCAAATACACTCATGACATTTTTCTAGTATTAAATTTGTATGTCTAATTTCTAACATCACTCATTTTAAATATTCCTAATTTTAAACTGTCATATTTCTCTCACTCACTGTTGTATTTATATGACTTTATTAAATTGTTCCTTATTTTGTGTTTTGTAACTTCTTTCCTGTCATATCTCACAAGCGGTTATTTTTCTCAAATATGTTTTATGTTTTCAGGGACTATTACAACCGTACAACATTTCCTCTGTGCTTTTGTTGTACTTTACTGGTCCTTCTCCAAATTCACTCAAAGAGATTTGTTTGCCACTTGGCTATTGGGGATGGTAATGCACCACCACAGCCACATCAGGATCACAAAATTAAGACTTAAAAATCATTACACAAATAGATTTGTTTTCTTTACTGAAATTACGGGGAAATTTACAAATGGTTAATGGTTCGATAAAAGACGGGGAAAAGGATGTAAAAGAGAGCTGGTTGATATAAAATCAAGATAGGACTTTTTGCAGAATCCAAAAAGAATATTCAGGATATTTCCAAGCTGCAGTTTATGTGTAAAATCAAATAGTGTTTTAGCAGTTTGTTGGGTTTCTCCTTCATAATGAACCTATCTGTTAAATGTAAGATATCCAGTGCTATGTNTAAGTACATAACTCCACATGTGTTCATTCATAGTTTTGATGCCTTCAGTGAGAATCTACAATGTAAATAGTCATGAAAATAAAGAAAACGCATTGAATGAGAAGGTGTGTCCAAACTTTTGGCCTGTACTGTATGTATATATACATGTCATTATTTAATCACTACATTGCAGATAAACCACACACTCTTTTTACTCGGGTAATAAAAGCAGACTTCCGTGTAAATTTGTATTTCAAATCATTAATATGCCACCGTTGAAATCTCAGTTTTCTTTTGAATACAAGCTTAAATGTGAATGGAGTAGATTCATCTTGTTTCCTGCACATTTCAAACTATGCAGAGTCATCCACGCCTTTATTTTTATTTTTTATCATTTTTTTTTCATTTCATGGTTTTAAGTCTTAAACAAACAAGTTTAAAGAAACTCTCTTACAGGTGATGTGTTCAATCTGTGAAATTCAATGTTTTGGTTTGTTTGCTTTCTTTTGTTTTGTTTTTTTTTTTTTTTTATGAAAGTTGAAGCAGGGATGTCTCCAGTGTGCAGTATTTTGGGAGATGCAAGTTGCCCATTGTAGTGAGCAGACCTCTTGCATGCAGCAGTGACACATGGCAATGAGTGTGTAAAGCTCCAGTACTGGACAAAGGCTCTTAAAGAAAAGCAGACAGGTTCACAGAAACACCGAGCAGAGAGAGGATCTGATGGTCTGGATGTCAGCACACTGCTGCCTGGAAAATCATCAATACAACAGGCTACAAATTATCAAATCAAATCATGAATAATTCTTTGCAGCTGGGTGCTATGACTTTCCTTATCGTTAACTGATGCTCTCTTTGAATTAGTAGGGTATTAAGTTATGATGTACGAGCTATGTAAGCACAGTCAATCCTGTTGTATTATAACACACAGACACACACACACATCCTCATTCTGATGACATGTAGCTACAGCAGTATACCACAATCGCATGATGCATATAACTAAGCCTAAACATAAAGGTCAATTAGTGGCGTAAAAAGGCAGTCATGATTGGCCCTAGTGCCTATGCCATTATGCATACATAGTCTCATCACATGATCAGAGACTTGATGTTTAATAACATCAGCATACATACTACCCAGCAATCATCATTACATATCTGTATATAACAAGAAATACCAAAGAAAATTAAAAATTATTAATGTAATCTAACAGTTTTAATAATTTATTATAGTTTATTTGGAATAATATAATTTTGTTTTAAATGACTATTTTACAACAAAAGAAAAAAAACATGATAGAGATGGGTTTGCCTTTGTCAAGGGCATATATAGCAAATGGCACATTTTTAATTTCATGACAGTTCTTTGAACACAGGCATATTTTCAAGTTGGCAATCACTCATAAGGGCCGCTTCTTCACCCAACACATTGTTGGAGGGCCCACTCCCTCTATGGGCCCCCCACCTCATGGGCGCACTGCCTGCACTGCCTGTATTTACACTTTTGAGGTCAATATATAATTAAATCATCCAAAAAATAACGCGAACCGCATCAGTGTGCTTCTCTAGTTATTAACCTTATAACTGCTGATAAGATCATTAGATTTCACTGGCCTATTGTGAATATTTTCTTAAAGTCACGAATAAAAATAAACTTTCCATGTTTGCCATGAAAATGTAGATATTAAGGTTCATAATAAGGCAGGGGGAATACAACCCTCATTCATTGCGTGTGATTTATTTATTTATTTTTTTTATCATTTCGATCATTTGAAGAGACTAAAATAGATGGTGTAGGTATAGGCTAAACAATTTTTTGGGACATTGCTCAACTTGAAAAACAAAGCACATGCTTTTGAATGCAGTTAGTAGGCCTATAGTCTACAGCTCAAACCGAAGCTCAAACACGGAGTTTTTCTTTTTTTCAATATCAGCTACTTTCATTTTATTTCTACTTCCAACACGAGACAAACACATTCGGTCCTGCAGGTCCCACGAGCCTGAGACCGCGGTGTAAAGGGAAGGGAAATATGTCTTACTGCTGGTAGTCGGCCTTGCAGTACACTCTTGTGTCTCTTAAGTAGCAGGTGGCGGTCAGCGGCTGCTGGCACGCGGCACACTGCAGGCACTCTTCGTGCCAGGACGCCTCGTTGACCCGCATCAGGAAGCGATCTGAGATGATCCGCGTGCAGCCCTCACACACGGCCTGCTGGAGAGAGTCACCGCCTGACGGAGAGAAACCGAGACAGGTCGGTATCCCTGCACTATTACACCGTGTGGGTTACACTGAAGCCATGACTTCAATAATACAAAGACAGAATGAATCATAGGTCTTATGTGCACGTGTTTTGTGTGTTATTTGTATGAGCTAGAAAATGAGCTAGTATAGCTCTAGAAGGCAAACACTGTATTGTGCTGCATGTTACATAGTGACTGTAAGTCAAATAGTTTAACATAAATAATAATATATTTAACCATGCAGACAGATTGTGTTTGATATGTTCACTTTTTGTTTCATATAGGCATATGTATATATATACATACATATATATATATATATGTATGTATGTATGTATGTTCTACTGAGCAAACTAAAACTGTGAAGACTAGTTTAAGTGTTACTTTTATAACTTGTTATTGTCCTCTGCTAAAGACAATATGTTGTTGAGTAAAATAATTTAGTAGAAACATGGACCATAAAGCACATCAAGCACCCTTATGATGACATGCTCAGTTAACATAGGACAGTCATGTTTGATTTTTAAAAGGTTAAGTCCATTTATCAGTTTAGTCATTAATTCATTAAATCATTCATGTAACCTAAGAGATTGTCCAACATTTCTGCCATGTTCCCCTGTTCTATTGCTGCCTGTTTCTTTGGTGCCATAGCATCTAAAATGTGTATAAAAAATATGGCTAATTCTGGGACTGGACTGAGACCAAAATACTAAAAAAGGTCTATAATATGGCACATCAAAGCATAACTCGTGATTTTATGGCACCTGGTTCCTAAAAAGCTGTTTGTTTTACTTCAGAAAAAAAAGTCCCATTTAAGGTTAATTTTGTTTTGTCCCATGTTATCTAAATACATCAAGTACTCACTCACTCACATTTGTATTAACAATTCAGTAACATGTTTGGTGACTGGCTGCTAATATTTAAAGAGCCTAGGATGTTAAACCCTTACCTGATGTGTCCCAAATACCTGACTTCACTTTATATTTATATTTAGCCTACATTATATATTTAAACTATAGATAGATAGATAGATAGATAGATAGATAGATAGATAGATAGATAGCCTACAACAGGAGAAACGAGACCCAGAAATTGAGGCGTTTGGAAATACATTTCACATCTCCCCAAACTAAAGCAGAAAGAGTTTCCAGTTTTGGGGGCTCGACTGACCACAAGCAGGATTCATGGAGCATTCTGCGCTCTGCCAGCACGAGGGAAGGGGAGAAAGAAATTGAACTCACCGATCAAGACATCCAGAAAGCCCGAATCGGTCCGCAGACGATCCTCTAGTTTAATGTCGTTGAGCATCTTTAAACAGTTAGCTGAGTGATGATCGCTGTCTAACACGCGCCTCTCTACACACTCCAGACTTGTTGCAATGTCCAGAAACCGTGAGATCCCGGTCCGTGTGTTCTCCTACCTGAAATCCCTCAAGCCAGAGCTGCCAAAGTTGAAACTCAAACAAGTTTTCAGCCTCCAAGAAGGATCGGCCATCAGCTGGTGTAAATTCAGAGGTATGGAATAAAGAGGGAGCAGCAACCCTGAGCCTGATGTGCCATCCTGAGCCTCTCTGTTTAAGAAGGAAAACCCTCCCCTGGCTTCCCTGCAGTCTGAACGGATCCGCCTTCACCACAAGCCGCGCAGTCAGTCCAAACGCGGTTCTGTCTGAAATCAAATCAGACATCCACACTTCAACATCATGGGTGATTCTGCTATTTTTTACATTTGACCACTTTACGGTCAATAAGAAATAGAGGATTAATTATTAATATAGCCCAACAGTTTATCACTGGCAGCAATAAGGCCTCTATTATTAAGTATTGTAGATATTTATTATATAGGCCTATATAATAAATATCTACTTGTAACCCCGCATCACATGTAATAGTTAATAACCTATTTATAATTAAATAATAATATGATATGATATAATATAGCACGAAATAATTTTCATGCTATATTTTGAATAACAAGAAATATAAGTAATTTTAAATGATTAATATTTAAAATGTATATTTTATTTTACCTATAGCTTACCCTATAGGCCTAACTGAATTTTTAAAAATGAAAATTCCAAATAATTAGAATAACTTGGCGAGTTTTTTTTTTTTTTGTTGTTGTTGTTGTTGTTGTTGTTGTCAATTCAGAATTTTTAGGGGTGCGGTGAGGGCATTCTGGCTCCGGCCCTCTCCATACTGCGTGTATAACAATATACAAACTAGCCTATAGGCCTATTCTATATCTCCATGTCAAAATAGTTTACTGCTGAAATATTCAGCATATATTTTATGTTCGCATTATGATATCATGTTCTGCTTGTTTTATACACTCAATTGGACACTGATGTTATCTATAATTTAACATCTACAGCGTGTGCTTTTGAACTCGTTGTTCATATGAAACTCACCGATCCTAATATGATGATCTTAACACGACAGCCGCACATTTGACTGGACCCAAGATTAAATCTGTGCACGTGCAGCGTAGGTGCAGATGTAGAATTTGCAGAATGACCCGCATTGCTAAAGTAAACTTTATCAGTCTGATTTTACTATAGACCTACAGATTATAATTCACGTTTTCGTGTTAAATATTGCCCACAGATAAAATCATGTATTTCTACGGCAGACAAGAAACTGAGTCGATTTCCGGCGTTTGAAATGAACCGTCGCAGACTGATAAGTTCTCTGCAGGTTAACATCAGCTGGGTGAGAAGCAATTAAACGCGAGATTCATCAGCTGTCTGCTCTTTTGTTCGTGCTGCATCCACAGTTTACTCACATAGAGACAGCGTCATGGTATGGTACATATGCGCACGGGTCAGGTTCAAATAACGAGGGGAGGACTAAACAGAGGGGACCTGTCCTCCAGTCAGTATTAGGCTTTATACCATGGTCTGGGTGAATACTCAATTCTGATTGGCTGCAGGGTGTCCGTTAAAAGGTGTTATAGGACAGCTAAAAAGACGTTCCGGTCAAATTGCCTGATGACAGGTTCTAAATTATTGCGCTGGNTGGCTCAACTGCTGGTTTGTAACCATAGCAACGGAGACTCAGAGCAGAGGCAACAGATTACAACGGGCATCATGAGTGATTTTATCGTTTCATTTCATTTATTTGGTGAATTTGATCATTTTGATGACTGGGATGCAGAAGAAGAAAGGATAGAGAATGAAAAGAAAAGGGAGAAACAGCACAAGGAGCCGCGGGTCTACACCAATCACAGCCTCCGGAGCACAGCTGTAGGTCCACTCTCTGACACCGGCCTGGAAACTCGTCACATCATGACCGTCACGGGACATCGGTGTGAGCGCAGCCTGCAGGCTTATTGGGCTCCGTCAGCGCAGGAGAGACGAGACTGGAGCAACATGTTGTCGTCTCCAAATGTCCCAACAAGCAGTGCTCAATCTCTCAGTCTCCGTCCTTCAAATGTCACTATGATGGACATACCCGTATCACTTTCAAATGTCACTATTAATGGTAATGTAGCATTTAATTTTACACAGGAAACAATCGTTAATTTGTTAATGTGTTTATATGATTTAATCCCGACTACTATATGCTTATGAATTGTTGCAATTAAAACGACTGTGACTAGCCTACTATCTGGATGTTGATTATTTGAAACAGATTTTCTTGGGCCTATAAATGAACGCCAATGAATCATGAAAGTAATATTTCAAGGTTGTTTTTTTTTGCACATCATCCTCTGACCACCAGAGTGTGTAACACACAAGCGGTAAGAAGTGCACTGGCTTTCTGAAATAATCATCTTCTGAATAATATCAGTAACGTTTAGCCATCATCTCACTTCCCTTCACTGATCAGAGTCACTATGCTCTCGACGCTGCCGCCACAGCGGGTTTCCATGGCAACGCCTGTGAACTACAGAGATTAAATAGTCCGCTCAGCTGTGGCTTGTGAAAAACTCATGATTTTAACTGTAAAACACATTAAAGCATAAATAATTGATTTAATATTCATTTCTGATAATGGACACCTAGTCGGGCATTATCCCTTACATAACAGGGAGGATGTTATCAATACCTACTGCCTCTCCAACACATAACACCAGTAAGATTTTGCCATGTATGGGAGAAACTGCAGAAAAAACGACGTTTCAATTGAGAAAACAATTAGGCCTATATATGCATTAACGTATATCCAATCAAAAATCAAAAAAGTTAAAGCAACTTTTTAAAGGATTTTCAAATACAATTGATTTTAAATGAAAATATATGCAGGGTGAATACTGATAAAGTGGGACAATTAAGCTTTATCATTTTTATCTTTATGTGTATAGCTATAGGCTACTCCAATTACTAAATATCAACACTGAGCTCATCATTTGCAAGTATATGATTAAAAAAAAAAAAAACATACGTTCCGTGGCACACCATATTTAACAACCTGAAAAGAAAAAAGACAGTGTTCTGAAGTGAATAATGTTATGGTTAGAACAAATTTTAAAATGATGGATAGCTTATAATTGATATTTTATTATTAGATGTCATGCTGAATCAGAATTTTAAAAAATCATGTTCATATTAATATTCCTCTTTTTTTAATGTGACTTTGACACTGTCCCAGATGCCAAGAATATATTGTTTAAGTGGGAGAGCGTGTTTCTGGCAAAGTGGGAAAGCCATTCAAGTAATTCTAACATGGGAACTGAGTTCCTTTTTTTCTGTGTCCCTCATACATTTAGGAAGCTAGCTATCTCAACAAGGATTTACTGAACACCTAACCAGTGATGAAGTTTTTATACATTGCCTCTGACAAAAACCAAAATAAATAAATAAAAAACAGGGAAGATGGAGGGTAAAGCTTCGATGGCCGGGACGCTTGCAATTTTTGCAAAGCCAGGTGGTGATGAAAATGATCCCATGAAGACTGAGGATTGGATCACGTGCATTGTTTTGTTCCATGAGATAAGTGGTGAGGACAGTGGCCTCATAGAAGATGGGGAGGTATTCACCAGCTCTGGCTGTATTGACGTGCATAGAGGCAGAAATCAAATTCAGCCTGTGAATTAATTTTGCTAAGAGATGTTCATGAAATTTACTCTTTTGAAATTGCAATGAAATGAATTAAACCTATTACAAAATATTATGGGGTGCCGTTTGTAAAGTGGCTCACGCTGAAAATAACATCAACATTTTGCCACATTTAGCTTCAAACAATGTTTAAAAAAGTGTTGTGAATTTTTTAATGTCACCTTTTACCTCATTTACAGCAATATTTGTTAACTTAGAAATATATTAAATAGTTAAATCTAAATATTAAATGTGGCACCTAAATGTTAAATGTTAAATCTAAATATTAAATCTAAATGCTAAATATAAATCTAAATCTAAATGTTAAATCTAAATGCTAAATATAAATATAAATGTTAAATCTAAATATTAAATATAAATATAAATATAAATGTTAAATCTAAATATTAAATATAAATATAAATACAAATGCTAAATCTAAATGCTAAATATAAATCTAAATGTTAAATGTTAAATCTAAATGTTCTGGATGAAACTAAATATTTAGCTAATATGCAAATTCACACTGCCGGTCACCGGAAGTACCAAAATAAAAGCTCGAGATGGTCAGACTGTGTTTATAGAATCAAATAACGAATTAAAACCAACTTATCGGGGGAAATG